TGCCCAGCCAGCCGCTTCTGTTCCCTCCAACCCGGCAGCCCTGCGCTCAGCCCAGGGAGGCTGCACCTACCTAGCTCCAGCTGTGCTGGAGCAAAAGATGAAGGCTTCCTGAGGATCCTGGCACAGCCTCCCGGTCTGAGAGCAGGGCAGCTGGGCTAGAGCGAAGCGAAGGGGCTGCCCGGCCAGCTGGCCATGGGGCTCAGCCAGGGTGCACCATGCTTGGCACTCAGCCAGGGATTTCCCGAACCCCTTCCCATGGGGGTGTATATCCCCCTGAATTTCCCCAGCACCCCCCAGTTTTGTGAGCTATGATGCCATACAGCCCACCTTCACCCTCACGGTCTCACCCCTCTTCTGCCCTGATCCGCCCCCCTTTTAAATTTGAACAATCCCCTTAATTTCAATTCATGGGGAGGCTACTCTGTTCAGCCCAGGTACACCATGTTCCACATGGGCTGACAGAGGAGAAGCCACCCCATCAGGTGGAGTGGGGCAGCTGAATGCCACAGCCAAGTGGCCAGGCAGCTTCCTCTCTGTGCCATATTCTAGGAGCCTCAGTTTCTCCCCAGACATAGACCTGCCCAGCCCTGCCTTCTGGGGAGTTTTCCTCAGTGCCTGGTAATGAGAATGGAACCTCAGCTGCTTTTCCTTTCCCTGTCCTTTCCCAGGCCAGGTGTAACTGGTCCCGTCCAGCCCAGTGACAGTAAAGCCCGGAGAGGCCCTCGTATTGACTTGTGGTGTCTTGAGTGTATCCATCACTGACAGCAGCTATGATTCTAACTGGGTCTGGCGGGGTCCTATGAAAGGCCTGGGGCCTGGTGAAGCTGTCCCTGCTGGGTTCCAGATCTAGCAGACCACACTGACTATGAAAATTTTAAATTCTAAATCCAAACAGTTGTAAAAGCTGTGTTCGGGCTGTCCATGACAATAATATCACCACACTGTACCAAAACACAAATATCACACATTTGGTAGTTTAGTGCTATCTTGCTTTTTAATTTAGCTCTACCTCCCTTCCTGGCGATAAACATGAATGGCAAACCTAGGCCACCTAAGAAATAAAAAATGTACAACTTGCACGTGGAATGGGAAAATGAATTTCTGTTCACAAATATAAAAGATAAGAGCGTATGCTTGATATGTCATCAAAGTTTATCATTAAGTAAAAGGAGCAATTTGGAACGACACCACACAACAGTACATAGAAAATTCAAGGATAGTTTTCCCTTGAATGGCATGTTACGTACAAAGAAAGTTAATGAACTGAAGGCCATTTTGAAAGCTCGACAGTCATTTTTTAAACCAGCAGCAAAAGGCAAGGCCTGCACTGAAGCATCATTTCGTATTTGCCATTTGCTGGCAAAACATAAGAAATCATTCACAGATGGGGAAATAATTAAAGAAGCAATGATTGTGGTAGCTGACTCTTTATTAAAAGATTTTAAAAACTAAAGAAGAAATAATGACAGCGATCCAGGGAGTGTCACTTGGTGCTTCCACAGTAGCAAGAAGAGTGGAATCTTTGTCAGAAGACATCTTTTAGCAACTACAGCAGGACCTGAAGGACTGCAAATGCTTCTCACTGCAGTTTGATTAATCTATTAACATGACCGACACTGCCCAGCTGATTTTTGCACATATGGTTTTTAAGGATATGACAATTAAAGAGGATCTTCTCACCCTTTTGCCCCTTAATGAGAGAACAAGAGGTGAGGATATATACAACACATTCAAAAAGTATGTGCTTGAGAAAAACATTCCAATCAAGAAATTGGTTTCCATCACAACAGATGGTGCCCCAGCCACGCTTGGCGCAAATGCAGGCTTTGTTGCATTTTGCAGGAATGATTCTGATGTCCCTTCTTTTGTCAATTATCACTGTATAATCCACCAGCAAGTAGTAGCAAGTAAAGTTATGGACTTCTGTCCTATAATGAAAGTAGTTGTTAAGATTTTAAACTCAATTCGAGCAAGACCTCTTCAGCATCGCCTGTTTAAATCCTTACTCAACAAACTGGATGCTGCCTGTGGTGAACTAATCCTCCATGCTGATGTGAGGTGGTTAAGTCAAGGAAAGGTCCTGCAAAGATTTTTAGAGCTGATGCCTGAAATTAACACTTTTCTTAAATCAAGGAATGAAGTGTACAGTGAGCTGTCAGATAGTGCATGGTTGCTAGACTTTGGGTTCCTTACAGATATGACATCAAAACTGAGTGAGCTGAACTGTGAACTTCAGGGAAAGGACAGAGACTTAGCACATATGCTCAGTGCTGTGAATGCATTCAAATTGAAACTGGGCCTATGGTCCTCCGAATTAGAGAATAAAACACTGCATGACTTCCCAAGTTTGGGGGGAATACTAGAAAAAATGAATGAGAGAGGAAAAATGGTTCCACCCAGAAAACTTCTGTGCACGCATGAAGAAATTAGCAGACGAATTCAACAGGAGATTTCAGGAATTAGATGTGGTGGAATCAATTGTCATGTTTGTCTTAAATCCATTCCTTCAAGTAGAAGACATTCGCGGCTTGGCTACAAAATTTCATCAGGTGTTTCATTTACAAAGCAATGGACTTAATATGGAGATTATTACTATGCAAAATGATATTGAGCTGAAAGTCAGAGCAAAGGACAGTGATTTTTGGAGAATGGTAAACAGAGAAAAATATCCACTTCTGTCATCTTGTGCTTTCAAAGTGAAGGCTTACTTTGGCTCCACATACCTCTGTGAGGGTATGTCTACACTACCACCTTAGTTCGAATTAGGGTGGTTAATGTAGGCAACCGAAGTTGCAAATGAAGCCCGGGATTTGAATTTCCCGGGCTTCATTTGCATCTTGCTGGGCGCTGCCATTTTTAAATGTCCGCTAGTTCGGACTCCGTGCCCGCGGCTACATGCGGCACGGACTAGGTAGTTCGGATTAGGCTTCCTATTCCAAACTACCGGTACACCTCGTTCCACAAGCCTATTTATTTACTGTTCTTCCCATCTTCCCACTTTCACAGGATCTAATTCTCTACTTACATACACTGATGTAAAACCAGTGTAACTCTGGTGATTTCAGTGGAGTTAATCTTCATATACCTGAGCATAAATCAGATGGAATGGTAGATCTTCACCTGTTCTGAGACTTAAAAGGTGATCTCGGGTGTAAAAAGGTTGGAGATCACTGCTTTACAGGAAGTATTTCTAACTACTGTACTGCCTTTCTAACACAGTATTAGGGAATCTATGCCATCAATTAAACTCAGGCTTAAAAGTTTATGCCAAAACAGTCTCATATCTGATCTGGAAATATCCAGATATTATACATAAAACAAGGAACTGTGCAGATTAAACACAAAATAATATGATAGGGTTACAATTGTGTTTTGCTCTGGAGAGAGTTAATGTTTTAAAGCTTACTGAAAATCAAAATAGTCTCAAGACTCTGAAAAAAGCACGGATCATATAGGTATGTCTCCTAAAAAATATGAAGTCTTTTTCCACATGTGTTTTACTAAAGATGTATGAACATTCAGAAGCAGTATAGATATTATGTTATAGCTAGTGATCTTACAAAGTTTTAATTAGTCAATCAAAAATCAGCAGAATATGTCAGGGAATGCTTTTGATGTGATTGTTCAGGATCAGTAATCTGCTGGGGCTACATAGACTGAATGTAGCATAAACCACTAGCAATGGTGCATAAACCACTCAGATGCTTGAAAAATCCATCATAATGTGCTCCCAAAAATACAGTATTGCTCACTGTCATCAGCCCATATTGTATTTTTCCTGTTAGCATTATGCTTTTAGTTTTCATTTGACTTTCATCTACCATGTCAGAGAGTTCTATCAGAAAGTGTCAATCAGTAGTGTTTTTTGACATGAAGACTGTTCCTTAGAATTATCAAAAGACAGCAGATATAAATAGAGTTCTTAATAATGCAGAGTGAATTAGGTATTGGCAGTCAGATTTAGGCAGAGTGACATTTAATCATTTCTTGGTGATTCACAGTTCAATGACAACAAAAGCTAGTATTGGGGATTGGGAGGAATGTTTAATTGACATTTCTTGTCTGAATCTGATCCCTCATCTACATATGCCTATTTGTTTTCCCCTACAGCACACATGCACAGGTTCTGTTAACATTATAGAAAGATGTGTGTGCATAATGAGAAGAGAGCAGACAGTAATATTCATTTTTTTATCACTGCCTTTCTCAAGTGACTCTCTTTATTGGTTTCCCCCTATAGTAGCATCCTTTTTGTGGAAAAGACTGACCCTGTTTTGGAATATTATTAATGAAAACAATCTCCCATTTTCCAGGGGAGGGGGGAGCAAAAATTTAAAAAAAAATCAATTTCACGAGTAAAGAATTGGGGACAGGGCCTGATCCAAAGCCTGGTGAGGTTAATAGGGGCCTTTCTGTTGGTTTCATTGGACTTTGGGTCATGCCAAATATGAGTACGTAAATCTTTTTGGTAGAATCTGCCTTGCTAGTAAGTTTCAGGGACTGCTTCTGCTCCTGTTGATTTTAATGGTAAAATTCCAATTGACCTCCATCGGAGTGAGATTGGACCCTTAATGTGGACCCTTTTGATATAGCATTCATACCTTTCCTTCCTTGAAATAACTGAAAAAATACAATCACCAGTGAGGTGTTTGAATGTGTGTTTATAAATGCACTATAATGTGTTATCCATGAACCTCTGCAAAGACTTCATTCTGTAAGAAGTTTTACTTCATAGTAGGAGTAGTTGCATAGTACTTCATGGGGTAACGCCATGATCAATGAATCCTTGAATACATGCATGGGGCATAACTCCATTTCACCTTAGGGAGTAGGGTATACTGACCACCTTGATTTTGGAATGGATTCAGTGTCCCAAACCTCTGCTAATTCTTCTGCCCAAAGCCAGGTTTTGTGCAAGAAAGAGGGAAATTTTAACCTTTAATGAATCTGACAATTACTTTTCCAGGCTTCTGGCTCCCTGATGGTTTTATACATGTATTTGTTTAAGGAACACTGATTTTCTAATTGCGTGAGAGGTAACAAGGCCAAATAACATGGGAATCGCAAAACTTTCTTTACCATCAGCAAAAAATGTTGTTGTTCAATGAAAGTTTCATGTTGGTTTTAATTTAGCTGAGGTGATAATGGACACACTCCATTTCAATTTATAATCTTGATTTTTATGCTTGCACTTGATGCTAATGCTAATATAGGACTTGCCTTTAATGATTTGGTAAGGCAAGTCTAATTAATTCAGTACATTAGCTTCTTGTTTTGAATGTCTGCCCGAGAATCAGCTGGTATAAATTGGTATAGCTGTTGGCTTCATCAGAGTTATGCTGTACAAAACTACAAAAGGCATATCTACACATCAGGGTTTAACTTGAAATAAGCTGCGCTAATTGAGCTATGTCAGTTGGTGATGTCTACACAGCACTTATTTCAAAATAGAGCACTCCTCCTCCAATTTCCCTTACTCATAAAATGAGGGTTACAGGAGTCGGAGTAAGAAGTCTTCCAGTTTGACGGTATTTCGACATTATGTTGAAATAACTGCCGACTGTGTAGACACAGACTATGTTATTTCAAAATAATGCTAGTTATTTTGAAATAATGTTGCTGTGTAGACATAGCCAAAGAAGGGAATGGTGGACAAAGCAAAATTATCAATAATACAACACTAAAACTTTCCACAAAACGTAACATTTCTGCTGAGATAATTTATTTTTGTCTTACAAAACAATATATCCTCAATTGACATGCAAAAAGCTCTTTTCTCCATAACGCTTCATTTCTTACCCAAAGGAGGTTCTGCCCCAATGAAGTAATGCTTCCTACCTGTCCCAGGAATGGAGCAACACTTAATATATTGCCTTCATCTTAAGTATATTGTGGCCCGGTACCATAGGAGCAGCTGTTCTGTCAGAATTCAGGTACAAACTGAGAGGTTTCCATTAGATGTCTCCACTTACTCTAGAGCCAGAGCTTTAGCAGCTGTACATCAGCATAGCTACACGGATGTTCTCAGAATTGTGCTGCTGTATCTCAGTGAGAACTAGACTCAACATATCTCTTTGAGATACAGGAACAAACTTGACTTTGTTGTTCTGCATATAAAAACTAATGCGGTATGTTTCAAAATGTCAGTATACCAGACTTGGTAGACTGTGGGTGCTGGCAGACTTGTCAAAGGCTTGATCAGCAAGCTTTTCTGTAAACATCTGAAACCTCACAGCAAAGCAGAAATTGTATCCAGCTCCACCATTCTCATCTCCCTTTTTTTTTTAAGTAAGGCCTTGCCTACATGGCGAGTGAGCGTGTAGCAAGCCATAGTGGGAATCATGTTGCACACCAACTCACTGTGTGTATGCTGCTATTGCACACAACAAGTTCCATACCTTAAGCGTGCTATGAAATTTTGTTTTCTGGGGGAGGGAGGTCCATGCAGTAAGTTAATGCATGGCAAGCTAGTGGACTCCAGTGCTGATGTTTTTGCTGAGATCGCATAAGATACTAAATAGCAGCTCAAATTCTATAAAACATCCTACACATTTGTTCTACATGTTTGCAGTTCTGTAAGGCAACTAATGTCAGAAAATCCATGTCTATAATGTCACCCAAAACTTGACATTTGGGAGAGGAAAAAAGTAGAAAATGGTCTTGCTTATTGGGTTCAATTGTGTGTATTTGTTCTGAATGTGAGGTTCCAATGTTGACATGAGTAGGATTACTCAGCATAGGAAACTCTTGGATAGTAAGTGTTTGCAGGGTCAGACTCATGATGTAGAATGCTTAACATTCATATTTCTTCCAATTCTAATGCTCTTTCTCACTTTTCCATGACCAGGATACTGATGTCGAGGCAATGGTCAGGCATTTGGAGAGCGTCCTGAATAACAGCTCTGTAGGTGAGATGATGTCTTTTCTTCAAAACTAATTGTAATATTTACTAAAGTCTTAGGCAGTCTTTATGGTTTGCATTCTGCTCACTCCCTTTTCAGTCCAACTGCTTGTAGGAGATTTTATAAAAGTGGCCTTAATTGCTTTCTTCATCAACTCCATAAAGCATCCAATGCAGTCATGTCAAGATGACATTGTTTTACTATCATGGTGTGAGAAATAGACATAAAGCATTATTATATAGCAGTGGGTAGTGGTAAACTGAAGCATATGCTTGTGATGTCTGTAGGAAAAGATTTTGAAAACTAGATTTCAGAAGACTTCCTCCTCCAAAGAAAAAAAAAGAAACCTGTCATATGTACAGAAGGAGATTGTTTTCACGTCACCCAAAAGGAGAGTGCCCATGGAGTTCAGTCACATAGTGAATGTTCGAGGAGTCCTGTGGCACCTTAAATAATAACAGATTGAGAAATTATTAAAAAAGTGATAGAGAATAAGACAGAGAATATCTTACTGCCTCTGCATAAATCCATGGTATGCCCACATCTTGAATACTGCATATAGCTGTGGTTGCCTTATCTCAAAAAAGATATCTTGGCATTGGAAAAGGTTCAGAAAAGGGCAACAAAAATTATTAAGGGTTTGGAGCTGGTGCTATATGAAGAGAGGTTAAAAAGACTGGGGCTTTTCACCTTAGAAAAGAGGAGACTCAAGGGCAATATGATAGAGGTCTATAAAATCATGACAGGTATTGAGAAGTGAATACGGAAAAATTACTTGTTTCCATAAAATAAGAACTAGGGGTCACCAAATGAAATTAATAGGTAGCAGGTTTAAAACAACCAAAAGGAAGTATTTCTTCACACAGCACACAATCAACCTATGGAACTCTTTGACAGAGGATGTTATGAAGACCAGGTCTTTAACAGGGTGCAAAAAAAAAAAGAACTAGATGAATTCATGGAGGTGAGGTCCATCAATACTTATTAGCCAGGATGGGTAGGAATGGTGTCCCTAGCCTCTGTTTGTCAGAGGCTGGAAATGGATAACAAGAGAGGGATCATGTGATAATTGCCTGTTCTGCCCTCTCCCTCTGGGGTATCTGGCATTGGCCACTGTCAGAAGACAGGATACTGGGCTAGATAAACCTTTGGTATGACCCAGTGTGGCTGTTCTTATGTTCTTATTTATTTGGGCATAAGCTTTCATGGGCAAAAATCCACTTCATCAGATGTGCATGTCCAAATACATTTTTTAGTCTTTAAGGTGCCACAGGGCTTCTCATTGTTTTTACGAATACAGACTAACATGGCTATCCCTCTGATAATGAAAGTTGTTATGCATTATAATGTCTGGTTGAAGTATCCATATAGCTGTCATTTTCCTAGACTAGAGAAAAAATGTTGCTTCTTTAAGGATATTTATTTTTGAGTGGACCAGCTCTGAATCTGCTACAGTTAATTAACAATTTATCACAAGATATGAGAAAGAGGCCACAAAGGAGAAATACTGTGTCACATTGCCCAGATGAAAAATATTGCATTCGTGTATTTGTGCCTACAAGAATAAGGAAAAAAAAAACATGTTTCGGATTACAGTGTTTCTGAGTTTTGGGATATGACACATGATTTGATATTTTTTTCTATTCCTTCTTCCTGAGCAGTGATCTCAGTGTGGTCAAGGGAATAAAATCCACATCTTTGAGTCCAGAGGCTAGTGTTCTATTCCCTGCTCTGCCACTGGCTTGAAATGAGACCTTGGGCAAGTCACTATATTTTTGTGTGTCACTTTCTGAATCTGTAAAATTGGGATAATAAGACTTATCCTTATAAAGAACTTCATAATCTTCAGAGGAAAGGTACAGTATAGCTGTTCAGTCTAATGCTAATAGTCATTAAAAATAAAATAAGCAGGGTTATGTCCAGCCAAAAATTGATTAAGACTAAACGTAGTAATTTGCTTTATGATATAACATGAAAAGGATTAATTTTTATAATATTCTTACTAGAATTCTATAGCTATTAGCACATATTATAATGACAGAAAAGGCAATTACAGTTGTCTTTTTTAATTCAACCAGGATTGGAAAGAAAACAATATTTGCTTTAATATACAGTGTCTCACTCTTGGTAGATATGTAATAACAATAGATTCCTAAATTCGCAAGATTTTAGCCTTAAAGTCTCTTTTTCAAATACTAGTTATGAATTTTCAATTTCTTAGGTTATGTTCAGAAGTTAAAAGTAAAGTTTAAATGAGGGAAGAATATTAGGTTGACATTGGCACAGTTACTACCTGTAGAATACAGGACAGATTTTTATTTCTGCTCCTGATAGATGTAAGTAATGAACTTTAAGTTTTGAAATATGTCTGACAAGTTCTGTGTTGAAAGTTAAAACTGTTCTCCAAGCTGTGTTAATACGTAGATATGTGTGATCTATTTTAAACAAATATAAGAGATGATAATGAAAGAGAAATGTTAATAGCTATTTTGTCATTATTTGCTCAGTGTCCAATAAGGGTCTCTAAAATGTATTCTCATAATCAGAGGCAGTGCTATCCCATAAGAAGAAATATTTAAGGGGTCCCCCCTCAACACATACTAAAAAAGTGAATAGAGGGCCATATTGAGTTTTTTAGGGCCCTAAGCAATTGCACTTAGTCTGCTTTTGCCTAGCATGAGCTTTTCTCTTAAGTCTTTCAAATATAATGCTACAAAGCTGCAGAGGGTAAACTTACTACATTTTGCATTCTATGATATAAATGCTAATTAAAAGAGTCACTTAAATAAGATATTTCTTCTTAACCTAGATTGTGAAAACCAGAAACATCCAGATTTGGAACCAAGGAAAAGAATTCTTATAAGCGGAAGTCAATCTATGGTTTAGTTATGAGTATATTTTGTAAAAGTCACAGACAAATCATGGGCAATAAACAAAAATTTGTGGGTAGCTCTAGTAATTAGAAATGAGAACCTAACATTTCACTTGAGTTTTTTATCATTCTTTTCATTTAGGATTTATCCTGGGAATAAGTTGAATTATTTCAAGAAGTTTTTTAAACCAAAATATAAAATTTTCTCTGGCAATTTTTGTATGAAGTATCATTCCTTATTTTACAGTTTCTGTATTACATATTGCAACACATAAATAAAGCATTTCACTGATGTGAGAAAATGGGATGCAAAAAATCAATATTTACTTCCGTAAGATCTCTGATACTCTGACTAGATGCAAAGTATAATACTTGTAAAGAGTGTCCAGAAATATGCTGGGAAGTATTCATACCAGAGTCAATACTTTTATCTTTTAGTGTGTGTCACTAACATAATAATTAGATGTAGGATCCCTGGCCTCTACATTTTTCGCCACCATTTTTATTCTATGAATTCTGTTCTTTTGAATGTGGCTCCAGATGCTGTATGACTTTCGCATAGAAGAATGCCCAGTTCACATGGTCACAGAGTAACTTGCACATAGCATTCATTTACAGATTTGGCATGAATTTCATTAAATTAACAAGACCCATGTGAAATTAAAGAGCTATTCTCAATTTCTATGAACGGTACAGAAATACTGGGAGCTGATGCAGATTTTGTACTGGTCAGAATCTCCAGGACTTTTCCTTTTTGAAACCATCGTGAAGCAAAAATGTGCAGTTTCACATAGTTCTTAGAGGAGCTCTAACTAGTATATGCCTTCTCAAGTCAATGGAGGCAATGTTGCTGATGATACATTAAGCATGCAATTTGTTTTCCAGTATCTTAGTGGCTGTGAATAGTTCTTTTGGTGTAAAAATTCAGTTTTTAGTTTCAAAGAATGTAATTCTGACCCCTTAAAGTCTGACTTCACTGGGATCAGGATTTCACTTAAAGGGTTTTCACTGAGCATGAACATACTAACAATTCAGCTATATTCCAGTATTCATTCTGGATTACCTGTACAGCTGCATACAGAGTATGCTTTGGGTCCAAGAGGACAGAGATGGAATCTCTGTCCATGCTGTTTAAAACAACAAAAAACAAACAAACAAACAAACAAACAAAAAGCTACAGAATTGGATAGGTCTGAAAAGAAAGCCATAAGAATGAATTAACATTTGGAAATGAAAGATTTAAGGGATTCAATCTGTTTATTTTATAGAAGGAGGAAGGCTAGAGGTAATTTGATCACTTTGTATTAATAGCTGCATAGGGCAAAGATATTTGATATTGAAGAGCTCTTCAATCTAGCAGATAAGAGTATGATAAGATTAGTGGCTGTAAGTTGAAGCTAGAAAAATTCTAACTGAAAATAAGATGCAAATTTTTTCAGTGAGAGTAATTAGCCAGTGGGACAACTTACTGAAAGACATGAGTTGTTAAGCTTGGCTGTCTTTCTACACGATATGCTCTAGACTCAATCACAGATTATTGGGCTGGATGTAGGAATCCCTGTGTAAACTTCTCTGGTCTGTGTTCACAGGTACCAATTTTCCAATATGCCAAGGGGGTACTTGACCCTGGGTCCTGCCCCTATTCCATCTCTTCTCCCAAAACCTTAGCCCTGCCCCTTCCTGCTCCTACTCCACCTCCATCCCACCTCTTCCCATGCCCTCTCCACCCCTGCCCCATCTTGTTCCAATCCCTCCCCTTAGTGTGCTGCTATTCCAATGAGCCCCTGTGCATCCAGATCCTCCCTGCACCTGTATCTCCCATTGAGCCCACTCACCCAGATTTCCCCACACAGAACCCTCTCAACCCACACCTGGATCTCTCCACACTGACCCCCCACACTTGGATCCTGCCTAGTTGAGCCTTTCCTCCCATACCTGGCACAGAGGGGCAGGACTCTTGTGTTTTTCTGGTGCTGGCTGGTTATTGCACTGTGTCAGGTTTGGCTACTGCCTCAGGACTAAGTCACATCCCGGGGATAGCCACACAGTGATCTCGTACCTATATGCAGCCAGTGACCTGTGCTCCCCAATGTCATGCTGGAACCTCCACATTAATGTCACAGCTAAAAATTAC